AGATGAAGCCACGGCAGAAGGTCAAACCGAGAAGAGGCAAAGCCAGGATACAAACTTCGATCTTCTGCCTCCCAGGTCTGAACACTTCCCAACACATCCAAATTTTAAAAAATATTGTTATTGGCTCTAGCTCTGTTCAGTGTACTCATGAGACACACCAGGAAGAGGAGGAAGGGGCAAAGACGGAGGAAGTGGGAGAGGAAGGCTTTTGAATTTTCCAAATAGTCCAGGCTTTGCTATGATTACACACTGTCCTCATTCTTATCACAGTGGATGGACTTGCTTGTCCCTGTGTAAACTGTAGCTGCAAAACCAGTATATGACCTTAAGTGCCAGCCACGGGTGCAGGCTGTTCTCTGGTTAGTTAGCCCTGAGTGACTGTTTCAGCGGCAGTATTCTTTATGTGAGGAGTTGTGTGTCTTTCCTCCGAAACAGCCACTTGAGCTCTGATTACCGAACCCCGCCACCCATGATCAGCCTCAAGGCAAATTTTGCTAACTTACGGATTTGATACACTTCTTGGGGCTTTACTTGGAAATTCCCCCCAAGACTTCCTTTGGCCCACTTTCCAGCAGCTGTCTGGTTAGGCTATTCACTATTATTTTTATCTCATTTTCTAGCAAAATCAACTCAAGAGTGGAAAGGTGTTGGCCAAGCTCCTGCCTTGTAAGCATAGGTGGTTGTAATTACTATTAACCACTGCTGTACTGTTTAATTCAATCTAGAACTTGAAACAAGATTGAAGTCATCAGCTATTCTCCCAGAGCAGAAATGCCTGGATATGTAGTATCACAAATGAAGGCTATGGGAAAAGGTCATTCACCTTAAATATTTATGAAGATTAGGTAGTGCTTTTTATTGATGTGGACTTGTGTGACCCCTTTGGAAAATCTATTACCCATGTCCAACTTTATTTATTACTGAGTAGGTATGATATAAATTTATCTCATGAGCCTACCTTGTATTTTCAAAGTATTTTGAAATACTTACATGAAAAAATGGACTGGACTATAGGAATATGAATTATTACTGTAAATTCTAAGCACGAGGGAAGATCGTAACTCCCAAAAACACTCAATTATTTCTCAAACTAGTAAATGAGATTTTAACAAACAGGAAATATTTATTGCTCAAACATATGTTAATTAAGTAAATATTAATAAACCTGGGAGATATAAAAATGTACAGGATAGTCCTTGCTCTCAGAGAGCTTACAATCCGTCTGAGAAGAAAAAAGAAAAGCATATAAATATTAACTAACAATTAAGAGGTGTCGAAAGGCAATATATTGTTAATTGCCTTGTGAAATGCAATTAGCAAAGTAAGTACTGTAGGCAGAGAAAGGAGAGATCATTTCCAGAAACAGTGGGCAGGGACGATTGTAAAATAAAAAATTTATCAACCAAATCCTGAAGGCGGAATCCATTGAAACAGAAATGGAGGAGGGGATTCTTAGTGGAAAGAACCCAATGAGAAAAAGTACAGATAAAAAAAAAAAAAAAAAAAAGGAAGAGGAGTATCGATCCAAAAAAGGAAAAAGAACGCAGAACTGCAAGTTAGGGTGACAGGGACAGTTCTAGACAAGAGATTGCTGGAAAGGCCATTTGGAACTAGACCTTGAATGCCAAGTTGAGAACACAAAAGCATGTTGCTTCAAAGCAGTGTTTTAGAAATATTAATTTGACTATGGGATGTCAGATTAAATGGAGCGGGGAGATTTAGAGGCTGGGAGATCAAAAGAAACCATGGCATGTGCAGATGTGGAAGGATGGTAGTGGGATGGAAAAGGGAGGTGGGGGTGGGAATGATGGAGGAAGAAGCCTACTCTCTCTCCATGAGTTTATTAGCATTTATTGGTGGAGCTTTCTGTTGTTTCGTAAAGTACTGTCAAATCCATGGGTTCCGAAGAACTGAATCATTTTGACAGTTTCCAGGACGGAATGGGGAAATGGTGGAGTTATTAATTTTGAACTTGCAACATGTAACACCCGCATAAGTGGATATGGTGAACCTTTTCTTCTTAATCTATATCCTCATTTAAGGACCAAAAAGGGTAGCTCAAAAGTGTCCCCCAAAAAGTATCATGAAATGTAGGATTTAAAGGAGATCCGAGAACATTTTATTTTAAAAGAAAGCTAACTCTAGTTGAACATGAGCTATTCCACACTTTTCCATAAATACAAGTGAAAGGAAGTCCCAAGAATGCCAGGAACCCCTTTATGCCTGCAGCCCTATGTTGGAACTCCTATTAAAATAACCTTCTGGTTTTGAATATTTGTGATTTTCAGGTATTTATTATCCAGAAATTTGGGGGAGTTTGATGTACCTCTGAGCAGGAAAAAAAAAGTTTCAGGAGAGTTTTATGACAATTCGAATCCCATGCTCTGATACGTGGTATGTTTATACACATACATATATATACAAATGCATATATTTATACATAAGGTACACAAATACATAGATGTGTATACCTGTGGCAATGTTACTGGCATCCAGGCCTCCTCACTGAACCTCTACAACCACATTCTGGCTTTATCGCTCACAGAAATGCAGTCCCTTGGCCCATCATGGGCACTTAAGCTTGGCACACACTATTCCAGTAACACCTCTTGACAGAAAGATGGCACAGGATAGAAAGCCTCCTCCCCACATTCCCTACACCTCACTCCATGGCGCAGCACTCAGAACCCCTTTCCTGGGCAGCGTCAAATCCAACTCTTTCCAACCCCTTGGCTATTTTGAGTCTGCCTCCTGCGGAGGAGAAGGAAGCCTGAAGCGGAGACAGGTTTGCAGTGACAGGTAACTAAGGCTCTTGGGGGCTTACACTAAACTCAGGGTGCAATCCCTGTTCCTCCCCTCTTTCTAGCCCCCTTCCTCTCCTTGCTCCCCCTTCTCAAACTCCACAGGTTGGCAGAACTCCCTGACGAGTCCTGGCATAGGGGTGAATAAACAAATCACCCACACCCATACCCACCCGCCTTGTAACACTGATTGATTATCCAGTTTGGGCCTGAAGCAAATTTATGTTTGGATTTAAGTAAGGGAAGGTGGTTAAAACTGCTCGACTTTATAAACTGAATACGCCTTGCTTTTAGCTCTTGACTTGGGTAGCTGTGGAAATCAGTCTCTCTCGGCAAGGTGAGAATACGGGTTAGGTCCAGATGCTGATGTTCCTTCCAGACCCTAGTCTTCTTATTCCAACTCGAGAAAGGCGTGTGAGCAGTGCATAACGTTTTCAGGCACCCTTACATGGGTAATTAGAAGCTGTTTACTTTTCGAGGATTCCATTAAAGGCCTTTTATTTTCAAGGCTGAGCTGAGGAAGTCACCATGGCGGGATTAGAGAGGGGGCTTGCAGTCCCGCTGCCGCACTGTGTGTTCAAGGTGGCTCTTCCCCGCACAGAATCCACCCACAGCCGGGCTAACAACTCGCCAATCTCACACGGATTCATTCGCCACCTCAAAAACCACTGATACAACTTTAAATGCTATAGCATATTAATCCTTTTGAGTATTTACATATTTTCTCCTCTCATCCCTCCAAAACTAATCCTGGAGTTTTCAGAATCTGGGAACTTGGGCAAAGGAGAAAGCAACCGAGCAGCCCCAGGAATCTGAAATGTCAGCTCATTACGTCAACCAAAACTAACAGTACCTTTTTGTTTGTATTGACCCAGCTGAAAATATAAAATCATGTGAGTAATAAAACACAGAATACAAGTGTTATTACTGAACGTGAAAAGTCTGGAATGTAATTAAATGTGTTCTTTGTTCTTGGCGGTGTCATTTACTCTATGTTAACATTTGTGTTTCCTTAAGCCTCTATAATATCGACACACGCTGTTGCATCATACTCACATATTCATTAGCTGGGGCTGAGGAGTGTGTGATTTTCCAACTGGTCCTCAGCGTTAGCTGTCAGATGCACAAACCTTCGCTTCCTTTCTGCGTCTACTGCACGGGAACAACAGAAGCTCCTTGCAAGAGCGCCCAGAGAGCGTTCTTGACAGATGCGCCGTTTGCTCCGGCAAGGCGCTCTGCTGGAAAGTTTCCTCTAACCACTAACACCCGCCTCCGGTCCCCCGAGCTGGCAAGGCGCAGGCTGGCTGGGTCCCCTCTTGACGGGGGAAGGGTTTTACACACACTCTGCAAGACTGCCGGATCCGAGAAACAACCGCGCCGCCAAACTCCTCCAACCCCGGCGGACAGGCTGTCCGAGGCGCTCGGGCGCCGGGAGAACGCCGAGGTCCCCTCCCCGCTAAGGGGAGCGCGCGCTCCGCTCCGCAGGGAACCTGGGCACTGGAGGTAGAGAGGATGCCCGAGCAGGGGGGGGGGGGTGCAGGAGGGAGCCCAGCGCGGGAGGGAGCGGACTGCCGGAGAGAGTGGGGGCTACAGGGGGCGGCGGGGACACGGGTGGGAGCCTGACGCAGTAGTGGGGTAGGGGGTACAGGGCCCTGGAAGCGGCGGGCGCTGGAAGGGGCGCGCCTGCAGGAACGCGCGGGGGCGGCGCTCGTGCGGCGATCTGCCCCGGACTCCCGAGAGCAGCTGCACTGCCGGTGGGGGGGTGGGGGTGGGAGGGTGGGAAGGTGTGGGCCGTTAGGATGCGGCGGGGGGGAACTAGATAGGGGCGTGCCTTTGCCCGGATTGGCTGCAGGAGCCTGACGCCAGGTCCCGGGGGTTGGCTTGGGGGAGTGGGAGCGGGGTGGGGTGGGTGCTGGGTGCCGGGGCTGCGGGCTCATCGCGCTCAGAAACATGCTGAGGTCCCGGCGGCTGTTCCAGCAGCGGCAGCGGCTCCAGCAGCAGCGGCGGCGGCGGCGGCGGCGACAGCGCACGGCTCCGGCGGGGAAGGCGCCCGGAGCCCATGCCTCCGGCCCCGCGCAGCGGCTGCCCTGACCTGGCCGCGACCTCCCTCCGCGCGCCCCGCCGCCCGGGCCCCTGGGGTGTTCCCCAACCACGGCCTAACCCCGCCACACCCCCCGCCCCCGGCCTCCGCAGCTCGGCATGGGCGCGGGGGCGCTCGCCCTGGGCGCCTCCGAGCCCTGCAACCTGTCGTCGGCCGCGCCGCTCCCCGACGGCGCGGCCACGGCGGCGCGGCTGCTGGTGCCCGCGTCGCCGTCCGCCTCGCCGCTGACCCCAACCAGCGAGGGCCCCGCGCCTCTGTCGCAGCAGTGGACGGCGGGCATAGGCCTGCTGATGGCACTCATCGTGCTGCTCATCGTGGCGGGCAACGTGCTGGTGATCGTAGCCATCGCCAAGACGCCGCGGCTGCAGACGCTCACCAACCTCTTCATCATGTCCCTGGCCAGCGCCGACCTCGTCATGGGGCTGCTGGTGGTGCCGTTCGGGGCCACCATCGTCATGCGGGGCCGCTGGGAGTACGGCTCCTTCTTCTGCGAGCTCTGGACCTCGGTGGACGTGCTGTGCGTGACGGCCAGCATCGAGACCCTGTGTGTCATCGCCCTGGACCGCTACCTCGCCATCACGTCGCCCTTCCGCTACCAGAGCCTGCTGACCCGCGCGCGGGCGCGGGCCCTCGTGTGCACCGTGTGGGCCATCTCGGCCCTGGTGTCCTTCCTGCCCATTCTCATGCACTGGTGGCGGGCCGAGGGCGACGAGGCGCGCCGCTGCTACAACGACCCCAAGTGCTGCGATTTCGTCACCAACCGGGCCTACGCCATCGCCTCGTCCGTCGTCTCCTTCTACGTGCCCCTGTGCATCATGGCCTTCGTGTACCTGCGGGTGTTCCGCGAGGCCCAGAAGCAGGTGAAGAAGATCGACAGCTGCGAGCGCCGCTTCCTCAGCGGCCCGGCGCGGCCCCCGTCGCCAGCGCCCGCGCCCGCGCCCCTCTCCCCGCGCCCCGCCGCCGCCACCCCGCTGGCCAACGGGCGCGTAAGCAAGCGGCGGCCCTCGCGCCTCGTGGCCCTGCGCGAGCAGAAGGCGCTCAAGACGCTGGGCATCATCATGGGCGTGTTCACGCTCTGCTGGCTGCCCTTCTTCCTGGCCAACGTGGTCAAGGCCTTCCACCGCGACCTGGTGCCGGACCGCCTCTTCGTCTTCTTCAACTGGCTGGGCTATGCCAACTCAGCCTTCAACCCCATCATCTACTGCCGCAGCCCCGACTTCCGCAAGGCCTTCCAGCGCCTGCTCTGCTGCGCGCGCAGGGCCGCCGGCGGGAGCCACGAGGCCGCCGGCGACCGGCCGCGCGCCTCGGGCTGCCTGCCGCGGGCCCGGCCGCCGCCGTCGCCCGGGGCTGCGTCGGACGACGACGACGAAGACGACGACGTCGGGGCCGCGCCGCCCGCGCGTCTGCTAGAGCCTTGGGCCGGCTGCAACGGCGGGGCGGCGGCGGACAGCGACTCGAGCCTGGACGAGCCGGGCCGCCCCGCGGGCGCCTCGGAATCCAAGGTGTAGGGCCGGGCGCGCGCTGCCGGCTCCCCGCGCCCCGGGAGCAAGAACGCCCAGGCGCCCCTGACGGCTTCCCCGGGGCGGGGGAGGGGGAGGGGGAGGGGGGGCGGGTGCGAGAAAGAGATCTGTGTTTACTCAAGACCCAGAGCAGGTGAACTCGAAGTCCGCAAACCGCGTCTGATTCATCCAAGGCAAACACAAAAGCCACGGACCGTTGCACAGAAAGGAAAGTTTGAGGAGGGGTGGGAGAGTGGCTTGCAGATTTGTCTTGGGTTCTTTTTTCTGTGTCTGCTTCGGCCTTCTTTGGTGTGTGCGTGTGATGCATCTTCAGTTTGGGGGTTGTCTTTTTTTTTTTTTTTCCTTTTTCCCTCCAGGTGGTTTTTGACACTTGCTTCGAGGACTGGGTCGTGGAAGGGAGAAGCCTAAAAGTCTATCAACTTGGCTTCCATCCCATTGCAGGGAACAGGAGCAGTCAACTGGAGAGAAAAGGGGGAATGACAGTTGTCAGGACGTGCTCCCTTTGCTTTCCAGAGAAATTTCATTTTACTTCCTGAGTAATGGTTTCTCCTGTTCTTAAAGCAAAGGGAAAGGATGGATGCGAAAAGCACGTTTCAAGAAATTTTAAGCTATTCTTGGAACAAGCCTCACCTTGCTTTCTTTTTGTAGGGCAAACCTGCTGTCCCCGCGCGCCTCGGTGGTCAGGCTGAGGGGTTTCTACCTCACACTGTGCACATTGCACAGCAAGATAGAAAGACTTGTTTATATTAAACAGCTTATTTATGTATCAATATTAGTTGGGAGGACCAGGCGCTGAGCCTCTGTGACATGTGACTCTGTCCATTGAAGACAGGACAGAAAAAAAAACAAACAAGAGGAAACAGTTCAGATTACTGCACACATGGGTAAAAAATAAAACACAAAACAAGGGGTGGTTCCAAATACCATTTTTGCACAGTGTTATGAATTGTAAAGTCCACACGATACTACTTGCACAAAAAGAAATTAAATATTTTTTAACTGGGGCAGGGGGCAGATCTTACAAAACTAAAATAAACCTGAAACTCTACTTCTGTTGTCTATTATGTTATTGAGCTAATGATTTATTGGAAAAATACATTTTTATACTCTTATCATGGTACTGTAACTATCCATATTACAAATATAATTATCTTAAGGATTTTTATTATTTTTTTATGTCCAAGTGCCCACGTGACTGCTGGTAAAATTTAGCACCTGTGTGTAAATGGTATTTCCTCCGTGTGTTTTACCAAGTATTTATACTCTGGTGCACCTAACTACTGTGTGAGGGATTGGTCCATGTGCAATAAATACCAATGAAGCACAATCAAGATTATGTACCGTGTGTCTGTAAGGGGTCAGTGATAATGGAGAAGACAGTTTGTTTTGTTCAAAATATAGGCTGGGTTTCCCATAGAGCTCTTTTAATAGCTTTTCATGACTCAGTAACATAGCAAAATGCCTCGACCAAATAAGGCATGTACCTACTGAGAGCTGCAGACTTGCCCTAAATTTTCACAGCCAGATTCAAGGTATTCTAGACTACTTACAGATGTTTTCAAGATCCCATCTACTGCACTTAAGAAGTAGCCTGTGGGATTGTGTCTCTTTAAAAAAAAAAAAAAAAAAAAGCCATAGAGCCAGGTAAATCAACTGCAACTTTGCACAGAAACGCAGGGGGAAAAAACTTAATTCCTTGAATTAATGAGTTGCCTGCCTGGAAAGAGGTAAGTGGCTTCCACAGCTTGTTTTTGTTTTCCAGTAGAAAATCACAGCCTGCAGATGATGATCATTGTGTGCAGATGTCTCCAGTGGCCGTTTAGAATGAAAAGTGCTTTTATGCTTAAACAAAAATGTTTAAAAACAGCTTTTTAAGTCAACACTTTTTTTTCTCTTACATAATTATATAGACTTTTTCCAGAATTTGGGGGTGGGCAGGTCACAGGTAAAAGCAAATGTGAAAAATTTTAACTCCCCAGCAACATTGTGACATCCAAATGGATAGGATATTTTTCATAAAATTGGTTTCTAAAGAAAGGATAGTGAAGTTCCATCCTGGTATTAATTCTGCATTCTCCAGAATAAGTTTTAAGTCCTTATCCTTTTATTTTTAAGCAAGCTTTATATTTCGTGATCGTAAAGAAACCAAAGTGAGGATTATAAAGTTTTGACTCCGACTGAGCTTTAGCATGAAGAAACTATTCTCTAAGGAAAGCCAAGATTGATTATCCCTTTTTTTTTCTTTTGCAATGGAATATTCTAAAGATCAGGAGACAGTCTTCTGAGAAAGGTTATCATGATATAGATGTTTTAGAGACCAACAGAAGGTTGTATGAACAAAAGCTGCTATGAGTTTAACCCCCTTCTCCAGGGAAAAGAAAGAGAGGGAGGGAGGGAGAGGATGGCAAAACTTACTTAAAAATACAAAGAAAAATACTGAAAGAAACTTAGTTCAGAGAAAATAAAATCAATCTCAGGATGAAATCTCGTTCCCCAAGAAATAGAGCCCACTTCTCTCCTCCCTTACCCCAGGAGTATGTAAGATGCATTTTGTTAGGGGTTTTGTTCATCTTTATTTCAGTTTAGAGTAGAAAATTAATAGACAACACCTACAGTTTCATCTGAAGAACACTCAAGGTAATCCTTCCTCGTTATGGTTTAGATAAGTCCTTGTGTCTAAATAAAAAGACATTTTCCCAGCCCCATTTTCCAGGCCCATCAAACCTCAGGTCTTAAAATCATGACACTCCTTTAAACTTTAATAAACGAATATATATATAATTTAACTACTTGGTCGAAACTCTTTAGTGAATTGCAAGAAATGACTATAATCTTGGGACCAGTTTGTATGTATTTGTAGGAAATAGAAAAAGATTTTTCTAGGATCTCTTGAGTACTCTGAGGATTATAAGGATTCCGAAACAGACCAGGTTGGTGTTTTCCAACTATCCGTGATAACTACTTTTTATTATTTTTGAAGAAGACGGACATTGATTTATAGCAGAAATGCAGGAAACTGGGCTGTCAATCCCAACAGCTATGGCAATGGGAGGAGAGAACTGTCAATCCTGTTTAATCTGGTGAAATAATACACACCAGAAATGACAGAGGACAGCAGTGAATATGCAGAAAATCGACCTTATTCCATAGGTTTGTGTGCAACAAATTCCAAAGGCATAAACCTTAAAATTAAAACACTGACCTTCAATGTGATCGAGATTCATTGATTCACTACATTGGAAATGATGTTGAGATTGTGCAAAGTTCTCTAGGCATAACAAGATATTCCAGCATCTATAAATGCTCCCTCCAGCGCAGAAATATGTAATTGGGATAGCATATAGCTGAATCCCTTGGTGAACTTGCCTAGATAAAACTTTGCCAATGGAGTTTATTTTTTCGGTCCATGCTTTCTTTGGAACTGGAATTATTAATAACTTATTTTTTTGGGAATTGTTAATAACTTCTAAGTGGCTATTGTGAAGCCTTTCCTTGTGAAGCACATTTTCCTAGCTTCTTTTAAATTTTGCATTTTGAACATGCTAACTTCCTCTGGCAATATGTAAAACTGCCAGACGGAAATTCTGCACCCAAAGTATCAGGATGATATTATCATTTAAGTTTTTAGCAAAAGCTTCTAAGCAAGGGTCTAAAGGAAAATTATTAAGTTTTGCTGCCATATGTGAAAAGCTTTAAAAGAATTTTTTTTAACAAAGTTGGACCCATTAGTCCTTTTGAAGGAAAAGCACAAAAAAACCTTAGCAGTAATTCAAATTAAGCACATTGGCACAGATAATTCAGTTTTATTTTGTACGTTTCTGGCATATTGCGCTGAGAAATACTAATTCTTCTGAATCCCTGCCAATTTGCTACTAATCAAAATGAAGCAGATATGCACTGTTTGGATTATACCTAAAAATAGTTGTGCTACAGTCACATCAGCAAATGGAATTAAATTAATTTCTCTTTCTTCCCCTTCACACATACCCTCCACATTATTTAAATTTCCATCAAGAATCTTGCTCCTGAATCTGAGAATTTGTGACTCAGTGTGTCCCAAATTGCATTGCTACATTGCAATGATTTTTAAGCAAACTCCATCGGACTACTTTCTGAGAAATATACCTCTCCCAAAATTCCCACTTTCACCTTGCTTTCATTTAAAGAGTTTCTACTAAATAGCCCTCAGAATGTAATTGAAGAGGTGGTAATACTATAAATAGATACTTTGTGGATTAATTTACCTTCAGCAGAGTCTTTTTACCCTTTTGTGGGAGGAGGGAGATAGTTTCTGAACCAAAAAAATTGGTCATTTGATGGAGGAGTTAATAGGCTTCCAAATCTAATTTCTCTAAAGACAGACTGGAAAAACAGCAACTCCAAGGAAAAGTTTACACTATCACGTCATAGAGCATGATCTTTGCAGTAACATCAGCGGGACCCAAGAAAGTATTGGAAGTAACCTTCTACACCCTATAAACCTTTGCCTTCACTTGCATGTTGTGCAAAGATCGCTCTGAACACCTGTCTACCTTCTGTACCTGAAGCCAGTTCTTGTCTGGGACCCACCACACTCACTAGTCCTTCTCTTGAGCACTTCTTCAGTTCTTCTTGAAGGAACTTGAAATATCTAGAACATCTAGTTCTAGATAAATTATCTTCATGTCAGCATTAATTTCTCATGAACAGTTTCCTAAAGCTCTGATTTTCAATATATCTCAATGCATTCATTACAATTCCTTTCTTCTCTCTCCCACATTCCCTTGCTTATAGCTGTTAATTAGTATTAGCAAGATCACGCTGCAATTTTCTTCCTATTTATGCCACAAAACTTACCTAAGATGCATTTTAAATGTCTTAAGTTTGGATTTCTTCCTGAGAATTTCGGTATTGCTCGTAATTATGAGTGGAAAAATTTTTTTAACTATTATTTGTACATTTCCTATAGAAGGTCTTCACATTGAGTGTAGGGTATAGGGCTTTCTTAG